TTAAAAAGGATTTTTGACAATGAATTGTAAATCCTTTCTTGGTCACCAATGTGCATGACTGATAAATAGAATACAAAGTCCTTACTCAATTCATTGTGCCCACTCTGTAATGCTTTTCTATTTAATTACATTAAACTGCATTTTCTGTTAGTATCCCAGTCACATATTTAAACAAAAAAGGAAAGAAAGAAAATGATGAATGTGGTTTGCTTGTGTGTGTTGTCTCTGGTTCTGGTAGCCATAGCAAATTTGACTGTTTTTTTAACTGAATATCCTTGTCTGACTTGTCTCCAATGCGAAACCTGCAGACCCTTCTCAGGCCTCTTCTTTGTGACCTCTCCAAGCCTGGTGAAGTCTTTACAAACCACTTGTTTCTTCTTAAGCAAGTAGCCTGAGTTTTTTTTGCAGGGAGTCCAAGACAGTGTTGTTCAAGTCAGGTTCATTGGGATGCTCTTTTTGTTTTTGCCTTTTAAGGAAGAATAGATAGCATAGGTTAACTTTTCAATTGTTGCTCCTAACTTTTGTGATGGCAAGTTCTCAAATGCACTGTCTCTGAACTCAGCAGTTGCACTCACCAAAGCACATCTGAATCATGGCTTTTCAGTACTTTCAGTGTAACTGATGTTGATCTAACAAATCTCATAATCACCTGCTCTATTCCATGGCCCATTTTGGTTAATGGGGTTCCAGAGGTTTTTAGAAATCAGGCCTTGAACATGGGGACTTTGAAAGTTAGAATTCCCTCATTGACATCTTATTTTGTTCTATTTGATGTGTGATATTGTGGCACTGTGCCTGTGACTACAAAACCCAGGGACATATTAACAAAATGAATACAAACAGCTAAAAACATTTTTAAAAAATAGCAGCTGCAGCATTTTAGCTCCCTGTTGGGGAATAACATTATGGAGTTCTGTGGGTGAGGAAGGTGGGCCCTTTACAGAGCCCCTGCTCCATTGTTAAGGGTGTGCTGCCCAGACCTCTGGGCCATGGGAGTGAAGGGCAAGCATTCTCAGCAGTAACCAGTCTTTGGTCCACAGAGGGAATTTTGCAGCTAAGAGGATGACTTTCCATGGACTTACAGGCTATTTAGCGACCAAGTCTTAGCCTTGTTGATGTCTGAGACCAGCTTTGCTTACAAGCATTGAAGCTCATTTGAACACATGTGACTGGGATAATAAATGCCAAAGTACAGTTTAATGAAGACAAGTGTCATGTCTTTCAGTGTTTAATAATTTAACCTCAACCACAGCCCGTGAAGGCTGCGTTCAGATGGGCTTTTGTCATTGAAAGCAAAGCCTCCTGATATCCTTAAATTACTCACCTACTCATCCTGAAAAGCTATATCTGGTGGTGTGGTTAAAAGGCAGTTTAGTAGCATTGGATTTCTTCATGTTTAAGATTAAGGTGTCTTCAAAAGCAGTTTTATTCTCAAAACTCTTATTTCCCAAAAATGAAACATCCTATTTCATGAATAGAGATACTTCACATTTGTTTTATCCGTTTGGTAATTGTTTTTCAGTTTAGTTAAGACTTAAGGAATGTAAGTTAAAATCAGAATTTTCAGTAATGTCATAGCTTTAAAATTAAACTTTTATAAATAAATACCTTCAAATAATGCTTAGAGAAAATCAGAATGAAATTCTCAGAATCAAGAGTTTCCCAGTCGGGCGTGCTGGCACAAGCCTGTAATCCCAGCACTCAGGAGGCTGAGGCAGGAGGAATTGCTGTGAGTTCAAGACCAGCTTGGGCTACATTGTGAGTTCCAGGTCAGTCTCAACTACATAGTGAGACCCTGTCTCAAAAACAACCCCCCGCAAAAAAAGTGTTTCCCAGAGTCCCTGCACAAAAAGTACATTATAAAAATGAGGTTTGACACTAGGCCCTTAGCCCTCCCTTTGCAAGAAGCTTTGAGCAAAAGTAGCTGTGCTTCAGGGGGAGCCCTGTGTTCTTGTTCATCACAATCATTACAAAATCCCCAAAAAGTAGTTTTTCTTGTTTAAAAAAAAAATGCTATCTGATTTTAAAAGTCTTTTCATAGGTGAGTCTTTGACATTTTGAAATTATTTTCATCCCTTTTGCCAAAAAATACTTGTTTGCTGAAACTTTTCCCTAGCCAACAGAAGATATTTGTTGTGTGAAGGTATGATTTGAAAATAAAGGAATAAAAGCCTCTGTTGACAGAAATTCTATACCTTGATTAAAATGCTCCCTGTTAATTGAAGATTTGTTTGAAGACATTTGTGAGCTTGGTGACAGTGATGAAAATTGGCATTTTCTCATGTCAGCAGAGCCTGATTCTCCAGCTATTCTTTCTTAAAGTCTGATGGATATAGGTTTCTGAGTGGCCAGGGCTTTGGTTGGCTTGGGAGGATATTTCGATTTTATCTTTAACATGTTTTGAAATTTAAAAGATGAAACTTTATTCGGTGTGATGGCTCTTAGCTGTTCCCAGCTCAAACCTTAACACAGTCAATTCTTACTAGCAGTGAGGGGCTATTATGAGTGGAGGAATAGATTACTCCTTGCCCCAAGCTGGAGAGCCATGCTTTGTTTTGTGATCAGGACTATGCACCTCATTTCCCTCCATTTTGATTTCCCCTCATGTGTACCCATGGTAGACATATGAGTGTGGGCAAAGTAGAATGATGAGGTGTGTGCTGTTCAATTAGAGTTGTAGTCCATAGAACTGGTCTCTCTGCTTGAACAGTCAGCAGTAATTCTGAAGGTGGGAAAGCTGTTATTAGAAGTCTTCATTATTAAAGTGAAAAATGTAGCATATTTATCCCAGCAAAAATAACTGTAACAGTAATGTACTAAGTACTAATTCATCCAGAAATGTTGGGTTTCATATTTGTAACTTTTTATTTTGTTCGTTTTTGCAACAAAATGATTTCACTAATTACAGTTATATCATGCAGTACTAAGGGTGCTTTATTCAAGGGTAGTGCATGTGGGGGGTTGTTATTAGCTCATATTGCATGTTAATGATGCATGTCTGAAATTTGTTGTGTCCTTCAAGGCATGATGGGTGGCTATCCGCCAGGCCTTCCACCTTTACAGGGCCCAGTTGATGGCCTTGTTAGCATGGGCAGCATGCAACCACTTCACCCTGGGGGGCCTCCACCCCACCATCTTCCGCCAGGTGTGTCTGGCCTCCCAGGCATCCCACCACCGGGTAAGAAATTCATCCTCATTCAGTCATTAATCTCATCTTCATGGTTTTTTTCCTCCCTCAGCCAGTGGTTCTAGGAGATAACTGCTGTCTGTTGTGGCCAGGGTTCCCTTACTGAGAATCTCAAAACTTTCAGCAACAGGGTCTTATCCTGTGTTTTGAGCAGGTGGCCCAGCACATGGCAGAGGCCAGACTCATCAAACCAAGGAGGAGGCGGCATGCTGTATAATTATTTAAACATATGACATGTGTTCAGAAAGCCAGCCCTCTTATAAGTAAATGAAGTTCCCCGAATTGTACCTCAGAGTCATACACAATAGTACTCTTGGCTCTTGAATGCATTTCTCCATTGAGTATAATTCTTATGTCACAATCTTCCTCTGTAGATTCCCTGCTCTATTTCTTCATCAAGCAGCCCTTCTAAAGGGATTGTGGAGTCACGAATACAAAATTTCTTAAAAATCCTTCATGTAGTCTATCCTGGAAACAAAAAGGAAAGAGGAAATGAATTTGCATTGAGTTAGTTTTCTATCTGAATCCCTTAAAAAGCCTGACTTAGCATTTTAAGGAATCATGTAGCCCACTGTACTAGCTGTAGACATTGGTTTGTCTGTCACCACAACCCTAGAACTTCTTTTACTTAAAAATACTGTACATAAATAAGGTCCAAAAATAGCTAGTTTGGCTTTATAATGAATTAACAAGTTGAAAGATTATTTCACAAGAAGCTTAAACGAAAATCATAAGTTCCCATATTAATTGCCATTGTATGCTCTTGACTGTTATCTAGTTGGAGGGAATATGCCCTGAGATGACTTGGAATAACATTTGCTCCATTACTAAAATATCAGCCAAGGGCCCAACCCAGATAAAATGTGGTTGAAAGCTTGTCAGATTTGCTTACACCTGATGCTCAAAGAGGAAGAAGTATTTATAGAAGTGGGTGTTACATTCTGACAATAAGTGTATGTTAGGTAAATTGCTGTGTCAGTAAGAGTCATAAAATAGATGTTCCTCTGTGACCAGTGGACTTGGCCCTAACTCTGTGCCCTCTTTCTTGGCATAGGATATTTCTCTCAGTCAGTAAGACATAGTTGGAGTTGACACCTTCTAGATGCAGATAGCCCTCTGTGGGAGGTGTAAGTCCAGTTCCTCCTGGTAGCAAGTGTCTTTTGGTGGGTATTGGGCATAGCTATACTTCTTTCTCCCTTTTCAGATTCTAAGTTGCATTTGAAGGAAGCACAACACCTCTGGTCATAGAGAGACAAGGAAGAACCTTTTTGGTGTGTACACTCACATATCTGATCAGGCTCAGCTCACATTCCCATTGGCTACCCTGGCATGGCACTTATAAGCAGAGGAAGCAGAGAGGTTTGCTGATTTGTTTGTGCATCCTTGCAAAGCAAAGATGTAGGCAGCTTAGTGAGCCTCCCTGTGTGGAGTCTAAGGTGGATGGGTGAGTGTCCTAGGGGAAGGACCAGGGATTTAGTAATGTGTTGTTGGAACAGAAGCTTACCTGCTACTACCTCTTCATTCATTCACAAATAATCGTTAGGATCCTACTGTGATGATCTGGGTATACCTCCATGCACTTGACATGGAAACATTCCTGTTTTTAAACAAGTTTGTTTTTACTCATTTTTTTCTCTAACAAATAAGAGAATGAAGGCCGCTTTCTATAAGTGGCATTTAACATCTAAACCTTAGGGTAATGAGCTGCTTCTGCCTGATCAATATATCAGCATTTTTAATCCAGAGAAACTATAGACTATGAAGTTAATTCCTTATGATTATTCTGCATAGCCAGCGGGTCTTGTTTAAGCTTTAGAGAACAGCTCAGTATGGTTTTATTTGTGGTTTGTTTTTAATGAACTGGGTCCTTTGCCTATCTCTGTGTTTTATCCAAATAGCAAATGGATGGCTTGAGATAAAAATAGCCTGAGATACTAAATTTAGGACATATTATTACTATCATATTATTACTCTCCTAGTGCCTATGAGAAAACAGTTGCTCATGAACATTCACCGAAAGTTTACTAATTATTACCAGAGAAATAGTATAAATATATTAGCGCCATGAAGTCTTTCTGTTCCTTTGTCATTTTGCACCTAAAGCAGTTGCAACAAAGCTACTGCACTTGCACATCATGCATTTTCAGAGTTCTCGTCTTATCAGATGGAAGTATCATTTCTCTGTATTATAGTATCCGCTGATGGTCCTCAAGGGAACAGCAAGGCAGAGCTTCTAGCCACACAGACTCAGTTAACTACTTCTACAGCCTCTTTCCTTGTGTCTTTGCTATTTTAGCACATTGCTTACTGCTGAGCCTGATTCCAGTGCCATTCCTGCTGAGATTAACACGGGCTCCAGTTGCAAAAGAATGTGTTGTCAGAAGAAAAGTACCTTGAAAACAGGTGTATTCTAGCTATAGCTTACCTAGAGAAAGATTAAAATTTAATACAGTGTTCAAATTACTTCTAGAGAATGGCCATATTGATACACATTTGATAAGTTCTCTTAGCACAGTGCTTCAAGTACATAGAAACAAAAAAATATAAACTCTATTTGAATCTTGTTTTGGGTGCTTATGGTTATCTACACCCAATACATAGATTGGCCTTATAAATGGCTTCATTTCTTATCAAGCAAGCTTTTCAGTTATCTCAACTCAGAGCCTCTAATTGTGCCATTGCATTCTGAATTATAGGTGTGATGAACCAAGGAGTGGCTCCTATAGTAGGGTCTCCAGCACCAGGTGGAAGTCCGTATGGACAACAGGTGAGCCCCCCAGTTTGATTTTTATAGGACTCAACAGAATTCTAGTCATTTGCCTTCTTAGAACATGTACAGAGTATCTTTTTGCCTCATCACGTTGCCCCATGCTCTTTCAGGTGGGAGTTTTGGGGCCTCCAGGGCAGCAGGCACCACCTCCATATCCTGGTCCACACCCATCTGGCCCCCCTGTCATACAGCAGCCAACAACACCTATGTTTGTGGCTCCCCCACCGAAGACCCAACGGCTTCTCCACTCAGAGGCCTACCTGAAATACATTGAGGGACTCAGTGCTGAGTCCAACAGCATTAGCAAGTGGGACCAAACCCTGGCAGGTAAGGAGAATCCTTCAAAATAAGCCTTTGTGAAATACATTCTTCTTCCCAATCCTCTCCTGCTGTTGGCTCTTGTATAAAATACATATCTTTTGCATGTACCAGTAAAATAAATTGTATGTTTCATCAAATGGTTTGGAGCTTCTTTGTATATTAATGTCACACACTGAAAATGGAATTTTTAATCAAATTTCGAAGTTTAGTTTTGTTATAAACATCACTGCCATCTTTTGGAGTATTTTTTTTTTAATTTTTCAGGAATGTGGGCATTAGTGTAGATACCAAATTTATTTTTGAAAAGAGAAAAAATTAGAAAGTATGTTTCCATTAGGCTATCGAGTTAGTCGTGTAGATCAACAGATTTAATATATATTTTCACTATTTACTGAAGTGTCTTATCTAGAAACTGAAGATAAATTTGGAAGTTTCTACTTATTCTTTATTTCTAAACCAAATTTGATAATTTGAAGAATTCATCATACAAATTTAGCCTGGATATAGTGGCTCACTCCTGTAATCCCAGTATTCGGGAAGACTGAGGCAGGAAGATCATAAATTTGAACCCAGCCTGAGCAATTTAGCAACTTGGTGAGACTCTGCTCAAAATTTTAAAACCTTTAAAAGGACTGGGATGTAACTCAGTGTGAAGGCTATGAGTTCAATCCTCAGTACCAAAATAATAATATTTTAAAATATAAAGTGTTTTATAGCCGGGAGCGGTGGCGCATGTCTATAATCCCAGCACTCGGGAGGCTGAGGCAGGAAGATTGCTGTAAGTTCGAGACCAGCCTGGGCTACATAGTGAGACCCTGTCTCAAAAAAAACAAAAAACCAAAAAAAAAAAAAAAAAAAAGTGTTTTATAGTTTAATCTATTAGTCCTTAGAACTAACTAAAGGACATGCTGTCATCTTAAAATTCCAATTCGTGTTTCTTTATTTGCACTTTAATTTTCAGCTCGAAGACGTGATGTCCATTTATCAAAAGAACAGGAGAGTCGCCTACCCTCCCATTGGCTCAAAAGTAAAGGGGCCCACACCACCATGGCAGATGCCCTCTGGCGCCTGCGGGATTTGATGCTTCGAGACACCCTCAATATTCGCCAAGCATACAACCTAGAAAACGTTTAATCACATCATTACGTTTATTTTATAGAGCATAAAGAGTTGTGGAACAGTAGCCATTTTAGTTACTGGGGTGGGGGGAACAAAGGATAATTTTTATTGCATTTTACTGTACATCACAAGGCCATTTTTATATAAGGACACTTTTAATAAGCTATTTCAATTTGATTTTGTTATATTAAGTTGACTTTATCAAATACACAAAGATTTTTTTGCATATGTTTCCTTTGTTTAAAACCAGTTTCATAATTAGTTGTACATGTAGACTTGGAGTTTTATCTTACTTGTTGCCATGGAACTGAAACCATCAACAATGTTGTCTTGGCTTGGGAATTTTGTTTTTTGTTTTGTTTGGGGGAGGGGTTGCTTTTTTCATAAAAGAACAAACAAAATGAAAAAAAAACTTAAGAGTTTACAGATTAGTTTAAATTGACAATGAAATGTGAAGTTTGTTCTAGTTTACATCTTAGAGTGGGAAATGTGTATATGTATGTTTTGTGTGCCTGAATATCTTAAGCCACTTTCTGAAAAAGCTGTTTCTTACAGGTAAAGTCAAGTGCTTTCTTTGGAAGGTTGTTATTTAGATTATAGATGTTTGACAGATGTGTCACATTTGCTCTTTTAACTCAGAGGCTCTCTCTGGAAATCTAGTCAGTGCTGTACATCCATCTGCAGCTAGTGTGCTTCCCAGAATCCTGGAGGAAACAGCAATTTTCCTGTGCTGAGTTAAACATCCGTTGTGTCATTGATTTTTGCAGAACATGTGCACAGCCAAGAGTTATATTTAGTCTTGGAAGGTAAGTTTAAGGGTACTTTTGATCTGTTTATAATAAATTCACAAGTTATACCTATCTATGTCAGATGACTTGAGAATTTAAATCTGTTGCATTGAAAAACATGGAAGTTCATCTTGAAGAAAGCACTGAGGTGTACATGGAGATGACTTATTTTTAAGTATAACATGACCTTACCTAAAGAAAGGAGTATAGTAATTGGATATGAACTGTGTCATGAGCATAACTGTGAAAGGGTACAATGCCTACATATGCAAATATGTTTCATATTCTTTATTTCCTTATTATCAGTTGGGGAGTTTTTTTCTAAGTTTCAGGGTTGTAATTCTCAACCAGAAATCTAATACTTTTTAAAATATATTTTTAATTTAACTTGTGCTTTTGAATTACAGGAAAGGGGAATCATAATTTAAGAAAACGCTCACTAAAAAGACCATTATTTACCAAAAAATAAATTTTTTTTTAAAATGAAAAGACCAATATAGATCCCCCATATTAGGGTTTAGTGACCTTTTTTCTTGTATGGCCCTAGAATAAACATTTGGAGGCAGTGTGCTGCTCAAGCGGTAGGAAACTATAGATACAAAACATCATTTCATTTGCAGCATGTTTTTAAAACCTACTTTATTTTAACAGGGTGGTTGCATTTGTGGTGGAGTTTCCACCACTGTTTTTGAGTGAATCTCAGAGGATACTTTTTTTCCTTTTAATCTATGAATCAATACGCACATACTTAATTACCATACTTAATAAATCATGAGGAAAAAAGAGTATAGAATGAAAATATATCTTTTGTTTCTAAATACTATGAATACAGGAGGCCCTTAAGGCGTGGTTACATAGGCCTATAATCCCAGCACTCAGGAGGCTATGGCAAGAGGATCACCATGAGGTCAGTGCTAGCCCAGGCTACTTAGCAAGACCCTGTCTCAAAAAAAAAAAAAAAAAAAAAAAAAACATAAATACAGGAAGCCCTTGTAACTTAATTGCCATGAGTCGACCACTGAATCTCAATTTGCATCAAGTATTTTCATTAATTTTGAAATATATTACAGTGGTATGTCGGTACCTTATTGTTAAAAGGAACCAGTTAAAGAAATCTTCAACTCTGGTTATTTGGATCATTAAATCATCATGGACTGTGTGATGCAATCAGATTCTCTTCTTTATAGACACCCTTGAATTACACCAAAGAACCTGAAACTTAATTTTGGTTAAATTATTTATTTATTTCATGCATTCATTTTATTTCCCTTTTTAAGGGCTGGATGAGACTTCTTTAAAAACTCTTCACTGTGGGCCACAGGGGCGTTAGAAGCCAGAGCACTCTTCCTCTAGGCTCCTTCCCATCCCTTGGGTGCTTTGGGACTCAAGAGCCAGCCAGAACTTGTGGAACTCTTGTGGGACTCAAGAGCCTAAGGCAATGCAGAGCTGGCCCAGGGTACCGATAGGCAGGCCCTAATTAAGTTAATTAAAAAAAAAAGAGTTTTATTTATTTTAGAATCATGTCTTTCTGTACACTAATTTAGGGAACATCAGTTAATATTTAGAATATAAGATTTGAAGTCAGCCATCTTCCCAAAAGAAAGAGAAGAAAAAAAAAACAAAAAAACAAAAAAAAACCTCCTGACTTAAAGTACAAGTAAACCATATGTCTTTTATTTTTTTCCGCGAATTTTAGTACTGTGGCTTGGAAAGTATAATAGCCTGTTTTCAAAATGTAAGTTCCTATGGAGAATTTTGTTTATATGGTGGGGACCTATAAGTTTAAAGTAGAATGTTAGCCAACTAATTTTAAAGGCCTTTAATTATTTGTTTTAACCTATCCTCCCTTTCCTATGAGGAAGAATTGAGGGAGGACACTTAACTTGTGGAAAGCCCTTTAATGGTTAATGATTTTTTAACTTGAGTGTCTCCAGATATGATTAAAACTTGGGGGCCAGGGATTTAGCTCAGTGGTTCGGTGGCCTGCGTTGCAAGCGCAAGGACCGAGTTCAATCCCCGGTACCAAAAAAAAAAACAAAAACAAAACTTGGTTTATTCTAATTTCTGTATTATATCATCATCTGAGGTTTAAGTGTTTACTAGTCCTTATAACATGTATGTATCATATGTTTGTTCATGTAAAGCTTTTTAATCAAAATAAAAATGGAGTTTGCAAAGTGATTTGGATTAGCCCAGTTTGGTTGTTCTATTAGTTCCAAGCAAATTAGAGAAACACTCCCACAAACCCTCGTGTCATGCTAACAGTTTTGCCTGTTTAAAAGAATAAATTTCCTCAGGAACAGGTGAAAGTCAGTATGCTAACTCCTGGTTTGGGCTCAGGCATCATCAGACTGAAAGAAGCACATGCAGTCAGACTACAGCCTGAAGTGTCTCCTGCCACACCTCTCAGGCTGGCAGTCAAGGCTAATATGTCCTTAGGATGGGCAGCATAGACAGAAATGCAGGTTGAAATGAAAATTAAGGAGCAGTTTATTGAGGGCAGAAGGTGAAGGAAGTGTGTTCCTTCTCAGAAAGTAGAATGACTCACTTCAAATAGTTTGTTTGTAGCCAGAAGAGACAGAGGTGGCCCAGGTGTGTATTTAACATGTTTATACTGCAGCTTTGCGAATCCCTGTAGTTCTGTCTCCTGAGTGTGTGAGGCTGTACTGCATACAATCTATCCCACAAGTATTTATGAGCAAACAGATACTGCTAAGAATTACTGTATCCCTTACCTCCAATGTGAAACTGCTAGATGGACAAAAATAATTAAATTTTTATTTATTACTATTTACTATTCTTGTTTATTATTTCCTATTTAAGTACTTTCCAGATCAATTCAGATGATAAAGTAAAGCCCCAAAACCCATGTTATTTTCCCTACACCACAGATAGTAGTGGTGGATTTCCAGCAATAAATGCTAATTACACTAGGCTTTCATTACTCTGGAGTAAGTGCTAGTTTTTGAAATTGAAGCTTTTAAAAAACGTTTTGGCCTTATATTTTCAGCATATAGCAGCACTGGGTTTATTTTTCATTTTAAATTTTCACCATTAGTTTAAGTGTATGATTCATAAGAGTAGCTATGTATTAACAGGAAGGTAAAAAGTTTTGGGGTTTTATTTTTTTTGAGCCAGGGTCTGACTGTGTAGCCCATCCTGGCCTTAAACTCATGGCTTATCCTGCCTCAAACTCATGGCTTATCCTGCCTCATACTCCTGGGTACTGGGATTACATGTGTTTGCCACCATGTCCAGCAGAGGATTAGAAGTTTTAAGGGAAGACTTGAGAATATAGCTCTAAATACAGTGCTTGCCTAGTACACATGACACCACCAAAAAAAATCAGATTGCAGAAAAGTAACAAGCTTGTGCCTTGTTTAACAAAGATGAGTTCTTCCCCATAGCATCAGAAAGACTCTGAAAATGTATGTTGTTACATAAGATAATTGTTTTGGTAGTCCACCTGCCTTGAGGTTAGACATTATGCTATCATTTTCAAAAGCTTGTTGTCCTTTAACAAATCAGCATTCTGAGCCAGGCATGGTGGTACACTCCTATAATCCCAGCACTCAGGAGGCCAAGGAAGGAGGATCGCCACAAGTTGGAGGCCAAGCCTGGGCTACATAGTGAATTTAAGCCCAGCCTGAACTATATAGTGAGACCCTATTCAAAAAACAAAACAAGGGACCAGGGTGGGCACCATGCCTGCCTTGCAAGCACCAAGGTCCTGAGTTCATTCCCCCAGTACCAGGAAATTAAAAAAACAACAACTAAACAAAAAAATCAGCATTCTGAAGGGAAGAAAAGAAATAGGAAAGGGCCAAGGATTTAGCTCAGTGGTTCTGCCGCCTGCCTTGCAAACAGAAGGACCTGAGTTCGATCCCCGGTACCGAAAAAAGAAAATCATAGAGGAGGGTAGCACAGAATTCAGGCTAGTGGATCGGGGAAAGAGGCAGAGTAATGTGTCAGGGAAAGAATCACACCAGATGGAAGTTGGCTAATGGTTTGTATTGGCATTTACTGTTTTTCTTTACAGAAGATTCTGTGTATCAAATACACTTCTAAACTGGGAGAGGGAACATACAGAATGTGGCCATATAATTGGAAATCACACCACTTTTTCCCTGTGTGGGGAATCAAACTCGGGGGGTGCTCTGTCACTGAGCTATCTCCCAGTCCTCTGTAGTATTTTTAATTCTGAGACAGGGTCTTGCTGAGTTGCCCGGGCATGACTTAAATTTGAATTTGTGATTTTGACCTCATCTTACACTTTTTCATGCCGCAGTCTAATCAACAAACTGTCTAGGATTAGGTTCACACCTGGAGGGCACAGTTGAGCAGCACATTGTTCTCACTGGTGCTATGAGCCTTTACTGGCCTCACACTCAAGACACCTCCCAGCAGTGATGCTGATCTTGCTGTCGGTAGTACTTTGATGAGATCTTAGTTCTCAATTTACACTGTTACTAACATAAGTGGACAAGTTTAGATCAGGAAGAAAAAACTCTAGAAAAATTTAAGAGACTTGTTTGTGGCAGAGAAAATTAAGGATACCCTGTAGTCTTAGGCACCACCTTGCCTATTTTACAATAGCTGGGAACTTTCAGAACATGGTCTTCTGTAGAAAATAGGCATTTTCTTGTTTGAAAAGATGTTGGATGTTATTATCCAAGCACATAAAAATGTCTCTGCCAGTAATGCAAACTTATAGTTGGTCAGATTGGCACATCTTGCTCAATAGAGTTTGTCCCTCGTTTGTCTCAAGACTGTGGTTGCTTCACTGGGTAAATTCACTTTCTTGTGGAAGGAGCAGCTGTCTTAATCTTTAGCAGCTGGTTGAAAGAGCAACATTTTGATTATACGGGGGTATGAATCACAGAAGCCTGCCCTCCTGTGCCAGGAAGTTCACAAGAGCACTGTGTAGTAGTCATTCAGGAATTCCCACCACCCTAGCAAAAAGTGTACAAGCTGGTAGACAGAAATGTAATTGCATAGTTATCCTAGTTTAAATGATCCTGTAATGTAGGACATCTTTGGCATTCATGATTTGAGTTCTATAAAAAATTAAAGTCATCACCTGGCATGGTGGCACATGCTTGTAGTTCCAGCTGTTGGGAGGCAGAGGCAGGAGGATCATCAAGAATTCGAGGCCAGTCTGGACCTACATAGTGAGTTCAAGGACAGCTTGAACTATAGCAAGACCCTGTCTCAAAATAAAAAGATGAAAAAAATTAAGGTTGTCATTTTTTGCATAAAAACAAAGGGCTTTGGGCCAGGGTTTAGCTCGGTGGCACTGCGCCTGCCTCGCAAGCACAAGGCCCTGAGTTTGATCCCTAGTACTGAAGGAAAAAAAAAAACCCAAAAAAAAGGGCTAGGGGTGTAGCTCAGTGGTAGACCACTTGCCTAGCATGCCTAAGGTCCTGGGTTTGATCCAGGACAGGAGAAAAGGGACTTTTCTGAATTACTATTCAGACAGCTCTGACAAGCATCCTGGTTGTCCTTGAACTGTTAAAGAAATCTTTTACGGACTACATTCATTCAGGGACTTCAGCTATTAGGTGGATGTTTTAGGAGAAAATAATCTTCCATAAAGTACTGTCCGATAAGTTACTTGAGAACTGTTCAAGGAGAGACTGCAGAATTATGAAAATTCCCTATAAAAGCAACTCTTAGAATAATATGTGCTGCTAAAGGACAAGCTGTGTGAAGAGTTCTGACAAGTACATTTTTAAAGGAGCTGAAACCAGTACTAAAGTTCATGTTGACTTTATTGACTGCTGAAGTTCAGTTTCTGATGCATCATCCAGTCTTCTCTGATACTGCCTTTCTGAGGCTTTTCTACGGTAGACATCATCTGTATCAAACAAAAGTTTTACTTAGATTTTTATGAAACTAAAAATCTGAGTAATTCAACCAATAGTCACCTATTTCTGAATCTCAACATTGTTTAACTCAATGCCAAAATAAACTTGAAACAAAACCTGAGTTAAGTGAGGACCATGTTCATGGAGTTAGCCTTAAGTAGCAGGGTAAATATCATGGCCTTCAAGGGGAGTGTCAGGTCCTGGCATATCTCTTAATGTTTTCTTTTTTCTTTTCTTTTCCTTTGGGGGCGGGTCAAACTCAGGACCTTGAAATTTTGAGGCAGGTGCAGTGCCACTGAGCTAAATCACTGACCCATCTCGTCCCTCACTTCCTTCTCCTGACAGTGTCTAGACAGCTCTCTGAAATCATCCTTAACTAAAAATTGGCCTCTCTATCTAGACATGGTGGCATACACCTGTAATCCCAGCACTGTGGGAGGCTGGAGGAGGAGGATCAAATGCTCTAGTCCTTGGGCTAGGGATTTAGCTCAGTGGTTCTGCCGCCTGCCTTGCAAGCACAAAGTCCTGAGTTCAATTCCCAGTGCCCAAAAAAAAAGAAAAGCTCGAGTCCTGCCTGGGCAATTTAACAGTGAGGCCTGGTCACAAAAAGAGACTGAGGTTGTAGCTAAGTGTAAAGGCCCTGAATTCAATCCCCGTACTATATCGTAAAAGAAAAGAAAAAACAGAACAAAACAAAACTGACCCTCAAAGGCTCTTGTCCTGTGTTCATAAAGTGCTCTTCCAATTAACTTCCAAGGGCAGCTACTCCTACCTGGCAATGACCCATTCTCTCTTGCCTTCCCAAAGGTACCGGTATCCAGCCTCCACTCCTTTCTGATCAGCAGTTGTACATCCTCCAGTCTCTCTGAGGACGGGATTATTTTCCCTTCACATAGTCAAAATTCTTTCATCTGTCTTCTGTAAGAACAACCTGGTATCCTTCCTTGCTTCTCTGGCCTCTCCAAGTCAACCTAAACATACGAGTTTGACATTCTCACCACAATTTGCCATTCTCTGGCCCTGATGTGCCTCCTGAGCATCAGATCTGTGTAACCATCTCCACCTGAGCCCATTCCCAAAGGAAAGCCAGGATCATCCTGCTTGTGTTCTGCACCTGCCCCAGCTGTCCCATCAGAAGCCTCACCAAACTTTGTGAGCACTTATTTCTAGACTGTCTCGGCTTCAAGCATTTCGTGGTATCTCTTCTTCCCTCACCTAGACCAGGCCACCACCTCAACCTAAGTGTTCTACCAATCTCCACAAAAAGCCTCTTCCCAAACCCTTCAATCCTTGGCTGTATACCTGGTTCCAAGAAAACAGCCCAAGAAATGTTTATCTTAGTGCTTTTGTGGCTCTGCCCAAGCATCTTTGTAACTACTTCACCCTTCATCTGCTTTAGTCAAACAGCATACACCCAAAGTGTCTGGGATTCTCTTACCACTGCCACGAGAACAATTCCACAGACCTTCCCTAGCTGATGGTCCTCGGGGCCTGTCTTACATGGTAACTGCCCACTAGGACTCCGGTTATCCTTGCCCTTGACCCCCACAGCACTTAATGTTTTGTTTTTGTTTTTTTTTAATTCACGGTGAGAGTTAGGGCCTCTTGCATGCTAGGCAAGTGCTCTACTGCTGAGCTACACCCTAGCCACAGAGGTAATTCGTATGATCTGGCTTTCCAAGTAGCTCTGCCAGAGTGGAGGACCTCTGCTTTGTCCATCAGAAGCTCTCCTGGGTTCTCATTAAATGTCGACGAATGTATAAACAGAAGGAAACACTAAAAATGGGAGCTGACAATTCACAAGTGATAATGTTTCAGGTGAGAAAATGACCTAGTGCTTGGAAATTTTCCTTAAAGAGAGAACTGGCCTGCAAATCAGTGCCAGGCATTCTTTTCACAATGCTGGGCATCTGACTGCAGGCCAAAGACGTGGTGCCAATGACCACACCGTTAAGACAGTGGTAATTAGCTAAGCCACCAGACCACGTCCTTCCAGGGTTTGCGCTAGAGTTCTGAGACGTCAGGCTAGTAGCCGGGAACCCATGAATCCTCAGGATCCACCCTCATTCTAACGCTGAGAGCAATCCTTCTTGTTCCTTAGGCCCAAACGTCACTGGCAAGGGTGAAAGGAAAGCTTCAGAGGAGGGTGGCTTGAAGGTCATAAATCTGGACGTCAATGTACGAGGCGTACAAAAAACGCGGTGCACCTCTAACCGGTGTTGCACCAAAGCTGCTGGGGAGTGGAGCTGACCTTGCCCTTCCAACAAGGATAAAAAAGCAGCTCAGCGCCATGAGGAATGCGCACTCTGCAATCTTAACCGCCCCCCCAAGCAAAGGGTCCCTGCCACCTCGCGCCTTCCTGAATGGAAACGGAGACTGCTGCACCCCCACTTACAGAAAGTCTCGTGGCCCACGCGCACTTTAATCATGATCCACTCCATCGTTCCTCCCAGGACAAAAAAGAAAGGCAGGAACCTGTAGATGCCAAATCGCTGCTTCCCGGGCACCCTCTGCAGAACTCGCCTCACTTGGGCCCTGGAGATCATGTTCGACTGAGGTTGTGAAAGGGGTATAAAGAACTCAAGCGTGGATGGAGCGTTAGGACACAACCTAAGGAATCCACCGCGAAACACCGCGCTTCTTACTGCTGGCTGTGAAGCTTGGGGGGGGTAGGTCAGGTGACCTCCCGACCCGGCACCACCAATCAGAATGCGTCGAGGAGTGCAGCTCCGCCAATTAGAGTACTTTTGGATGACGCATGCTCCGTGAAGCTGAGTCGGCAGGAAGGCGCTGGCGCAAGCGCCTGGGCTTCCGAGGCTCGGTTGTCTCAGGGGGTGGAGCTCCTACGTGGCGTAGGCCGCTGCCCCCATCCCCAGGGCAGGCGGGGGCTTGGACTGAGGGCCGCGCCCCCTACCCTGCCACCGCCATCTTTTTTCCTAGTCCACTGACAGAAGTGGCGACCCTGTGTGAGGGACGCATCCTGTATCGCACTGTATCAGTGTAATTATCTGACGCCGTGCTTTCATTCCGGGGACGTGAGTGGGGAGACGACTTCCAAATTAACAGAATTTGATACGCTTTGTTGAAAGCCGATCGAAAGATAAATCACAACAAAATTCTAAGTAAGCGTCTTGTGGTAACCCTAAAATTAATAAAAGCTATCCTGCGTGGGCGCTTACGTTATACGGACACGTTTAGACGGTTTGTTTTTTTGGGTACTGGGGATCGAACTTAGGATCTGGCGCTTGTGAAGAAGGCGGGGGAACCACTGAGCTAAATCCCGGGCCCACGTTTAGGTGTTTTGAATGCGCCATCTCTTCATTCACAGCCTTTGCAGACTGGTCTGCGTTTCCGTTCCCACAACACAGGGTCTTTCTGTGATGCTGTGAGGATTTGGTGAGATAAGAAGCACTGAACACAGGGCCTGCAGCATAAACTCATCACTTAACATTAGTTGTACATAATATTGACGGTGATGGTGTCCCAAGCCCTCATTCTTCACGTGTCTTCATTCCTTAACGGCCAGGTAGGAACAGCACTGATTCCAGAGCCTTCACTCCTCACTTTGACCTTTTATGCTTCACCGTGTGCTCGCTGAAGATGCCCGTGAGAGGCTGTCACTCTGCTACCCAGAGACTAACCTGAGGACTAGCTGAGAAGGGAGAGAGCTATTAGACAATCTGAGGATCCGATGAAGGCTTAGCACCAATAAGAGGTCTTGGTTTTGTGGGCACAAAGTGGCAAAAGCAGACAGAAGAGAGCAAGCAGGACCCCAAGAAGGGTCATGGGCTGGCCTTGAGCAGCTTTAGGGGCCGCTGTACAACTCAGCCGGAGAGCTGGCACCTGCTTCTGAGGCTTGGACCTGCGGGACACCCACCCGCCCGGAGAACCATCACGGAGAAGTGCCCAGCACCAACCTGGCTCATCAGGGCCCGTGGGGAGGCAGCCACCCAGTAGCCCACCTTTTGGGCCTCAGTTCCCGCCGGCAGTGGGCTAGGATCTGGCTGGCACAGTAGGTCCTCAGGTGCAGTAGAGCTTCGAGTGTACACACAACCTTTAAGCCAAGTGTATCCAGCTGATCAGTGCATCACGCCCAGGGCCCACAGGTGCTGGACCGGCCTCCTTGGAGACCAGTGCACTGCCTGGGGCTCGGAAAATGGATGTGAACAGAAAAATGCGGGTGGCGTGGTTCTAAGCAGGGAAGAGGAATTTTGTTGTGAAGACCAGCTACAGTGCTAGAACAGACTGCGGCAACTCAGAAATGGCCTGTCCCACGCCAGTAGCTTGGCAGACAGATGCAGCCATTTGCCGCGGTCAGAGCCAGGTGGGCGCAGTGATTCCCGGCCAAAGCCCTGCTGCGCACGCCCAGCAGTTCCGCTCAGGTGAGGTCACCTGTGTGGGGAACCAAGCGACAGAATGAGGCTGCCCCACCCGATGTCAGCTGCGCCGCAGGTCCGACGGTACCACCCATTGTGGACTGGCACCTGGGGCTTAGGAAGGGCTCTTTATCCACTAGGTACGTGAGCAGTCAGGGGCCAGGCAGGGGAACAGAACCCCGCGCCGCCGGACTGGGACATGGGGCGAGGGGTGAGGCACAGAAGGGGTCCGGGGCCCGCGTGAACCCGCGCGCTCCCTCCTCTCTGCCCCTGCCGTCTGGAGACTCGCGGGGACTGCCAGGCTCGGGTTCTCGAACTAAGAAGGAGCCGCCATCACCGCCGCGACGGCCA